ATTTTCCCCATTTTCCCCATTTTTCCCATTTTTTCAGATGTTGAGGATTTGCTCCGGTTCCTTCGGCCGCTCCACGAGGGGACTCTGGTGCTCGTGGCCTCCTACGACGACCCCGCCACAAAGTGAGAAATTTGGGGGAAATTTGGGCATTTTGGGGATTTTTTGGAAGATTTTGGGGGTTTTTGGTGTTTTTTGGGCTCCTTGGGGGGGATTTTGGGGTAAAAAATGGTGATTTTTGGGGTTTCCAGGGGTGTTTTTGGGGTCCCTCCTATGATGACCCCGCCACAAAGTGAGAAAATTGGGAGAAATTCAGGCATTTTTGGGGTTCCTGAGATATTTTTGGGGTTCTTGGTGGTTTTTTGGGATCCCTTGGCGTGATTTTTGGCGTGATTATTTTTTTGGTGATTTTTGCCATGATTTTTTTGTGATTTTTCTGATGATTTTTTGGCAATTTTTTGGTGATTTTTGCGATGATTTTTTGGTGAGTTTTTGCTGATTTTTGTGAATTTTTTGCTGATTTTGTGATGATTTTGTGATTTTTGTGATGATTTTTTGGTTCGTTTTTGGTGGTTTTTGTGATGTTTTTTGTGATTTTTGGAATAATTTTAAATTGTTTTTTTGGTGATTTCTCTGATAATTTTTAATATTTTATTTGTGATATTTGGGGTGACTACTCTGATGATTTTTTGTGATTTTGGAGTGCTTTTTTGAGTGATTTTTTGGGTTCTTGAGGTGATTTTTGGAATGATTTTTTGTGATTTTTGGCATGGTTTTGGGATGATTTTTGGGGGTTCTCGAGGTGATTTTTGTGATGATTTTTTTGCGATTTTTTGGTGATTTTTGGGATGTTTTTTCTGATTGTTGGGGTGATTTTTGGGGTTCTCGAGGTGATTTTGAGGATGATTTTTTTGTTATTTTGGGATGATTTTTTTTATGATTTTAGGGTAATTTTGTGTTGATTTTCTGATGACTTTTTGAATTATTTTTTTGTGATTTTTGGGACGATTTTTTGGTGATTCTTTTGCTAATTTTTAATATTTTTTCGTGATTTTGGGGTGACTATTGTGATGATTTTTTGTGATTTTGGGATGATTTTTTTTGTGATTTTTGTGATTTTTTTTTTCTGATGGTTTTCTGATGATTTCGTGATGATTTTTCTGATACTTTTTAATAATTTTTTTTACAATTTTTTTTCTATTCCCCAGGCTGACGGAGGAGTCTTTGGGTGATTTTTTGGTGCTGATTTTTTGGCGATCTTTGTGCTAATTTTTTTTTTGTTTGTTTTTTGCTCATTTCTAACAATATTTTTACCATTTTTTAATGTTTTTTAGACTGACAGAGGAGTCCCGGCGGCTCTTTGGGGAGTTGGGCAGCGCCGTGGCCAAAGATTTGGGGTTCAGGGACAGTTGGGTGTTCGTGGGGGCCAAAGGGGTGCAGGACCTCAGCCCCTTCGAGCAGGTGGGGATTTGGGGGATTTT